CCACAATGCATTGCATTTAACCAGAGTGCATTGCGCCACGAAACAACTAAAATAAAAACACCAGGAAGTTCGGTGGGTGAGAGAGTGCATCGTTCGCTGCTCAGACTTAGAGTTTTCTTTGTGGCAAAATTTCTACAGCACGGTTAGAGGTCTTACCAAATTTTAAGACGCGCAGGAGTCTTTCAGATGAGTACGATGGTTAACTTGGGGATTGGATTTCAATTCAAGAGCCTTTGACTCGTTCAGGTGTTAAACCTGACTAGAAGATGAGCATTTGCTCTTCGACTCGGCAACACAGGGGATATACAAATTTCAGCTTGCTAGAAGGTGATGTGAAAGTGACAAAATGTCATGCAGTGCTATTCTTAAGAAACTGTATGAGCCGAAAATGGATGTGATTTTGACCATTCGCTTCAAAATAACGGCGGAAATCGAGATAACAAAACATTTGTTTTGTGTCCTACTTTGCAGACAAGGACGTGTATCGGCGTTTTGAAAAGCATAATTATGTTCTTTCATTCATTCATTGCCATGGAATATGCGTTTACATTGTTTTTTCACTGTGAATAGCTCGGTTAATGCGGCTGGCGATCATCTTGCCGGCGGAAGTTTCATGGAAAAGGAATAAATCATGACTTTTCTTAAAGATTACGTAATCAGCCTCTGTGGTGTAGTGGTTAGGTGTAGTCGCGTCGAGCCGAAGGTGCAGGGTTCGAGTCCTACCGAATTCTATACTCCTTCTTTCTTTTCTTTTTTTTTCCGTTTTTTGTGTTTTTGTTTTCTATAAATATATAGCTAAATAACTGTTACTTAAGAAAGTGCAACAAACAGCAAGAAAAGTATTGTGTTTCCAGAGAAAATATCGTGCACCTTATATTAAATATATGGATAAACAATCTGAATTTATATTATTTCCTACAATTTACTGTGGGAAAACCAGAGTTATAACCACTTGATCATTTTCTAAACAACGTTCCCACGAGTTCTTTCTATAGACTGATAGTAATTATTCTAGTACTTTCCAACATGTAAATAGGACATTCAATATCATTTTCGAGTCTTTTAAGTCTCACTGCCTAACTAATGACAGTATCAACAGAATGTGCCGCAGCATTGCTAGCTTTTAGATACCCTAGTATCCTTCAAATGCCTGAAAAGTGTAGCTGTCGTGATTTGCATGTTATTGCAACCATTTTTGTTCTTTATTTTTTTACTTTAGCTTGGTCTGTTACAAGTAGCGTGTTTTTTAGTTTCTCTGGCTCATTTTGCTCGATTTTGTTTACATTTAGCCAGAAAAACGCACTTTTTAATGTGCTCGGGTTTTTGGAATATTTTTTTAACTTTTCTATTGTTGTTTTGCGTACAAAATTAAATCCTGTCATCATCTGCAGAAAACCAGAGCCATTTGCTTGAATTTTACTGTTAAAAAAGCTCTAATCTGATTGGTTCTTGGTGGTTTCTTTTGTGTTTTCAGCCAATCAGAAACCATTTGTAATTTTCACTCGTGTCACAGAAGAACTGCACTCCTTTCTCAGCCAATCAGAATTGAGTAATTTTTTGTGTATATTATTAAACTGGTGAAACTGCCCAAAAAACATGTACAACTTTTTCTGCCTTTAGAACAAGCACTATGCCTAGAAGTCAATATCGACAGCAAGCTTACTGCTTTACTTTTAATTATAACTTATATAAGTTAACATATTGTTTGACAGTTACTCCAGGGTGGCAACCACTAAGTTATTCCATACTGATGTTAGAACATGAACCTAACAGATGTTCTGGATCAAACCAGTTCTGTGCCCCTGTACCTCCCAGCACTTCCTTTATTGAGTTATTGGTAGAATTATAAACAACTTTTTATGGAGGCAGAGTGGTCAGCATGTCAGACCCGCAATCCTGCGGTCCCAGGTTTGACTGCCGCTCTGGTGACTTGGTCGTCTCGAGTACAAATCGTCAGCCATGCTCTTAAATAGCCATATGGTTGCATCCTGCCAGTTGGGGTTCTTAATCCTGTAACGTTGTATTTGAATTATTTGTTTCTAAGTATTTGAGTGGAGTGCCTGAAAACTAGGTAGATAAGCTAAGTGCACCTTCCACTATAAACACGCCTTTAAACTTTAATTCCATCCAAACTTAACAGAAACTATTTTAATTCAAGGGGAGACATTTCATTCAACAGTGACTCTTGTCTACATTTTGCAATAAGCTGCCTTACTGCTGCATGGAATGTAGTCAAATGAAATGCATTGCCTCCAGGTTCTTCCACAAACAGTTTAGCCACCCACTGTATACATGCTTCACTAATCTTCTGACTCATCTCCCAAGAACTGTGTGCTACCTTTCCTTAAACTTCAATTTTCTTCTTAAATTGCGACAGCTGTAGTACAGTCGAACCCCGCTATTTCGAAGTCCCAAGGGAAATGGAAAAAAGTTCGAAATAGCGGGGTTTTGAAATAACTGGGGAAGCGTAAAGGGGAAGGGTAAATCCAGGGGAATTCGA